CTCCCGGCCACCGCAGCCTCGACCTGGCTGGCTGCTGCCTCAGCCTTCCAAGTAGCCGGAATTACAGGCATGCACTACCAGGCCCGGCTGATTTTTTGATTTATTGTAGAGATGAGGTCTCGCTGCCCAGGTGGGTCTCGAACCCGCGGGCTCAGGCAATCCACTCACCTCAGCCTCCCAAAGGTGCGGGATTACAGGCTGAGCCACTGAGCCCGGCTTGATTTGTTTATTTCTTAAACATATCTGGATATTTTTCTTATTACAAAAGCAATAGATATTCATTGTAAAAAAATTTTAAAATGCAGGTTGATAAAAAGAAGAACACAAAACCATCTGTAAATTTATGAATGAGAGATAACACTGTGGAAATGTGAGTTAATTTCCTTTTTCTGTTTTTTTTTCCCCTAAATATATAGTCTAAAAATAAAAAATAAAAAGAACAAGGGGACTCTTTATTTCTTTCCTAGTCTGTTTTCTTGGCCTTCCTGGTTCTGGGTTCCACTGATACACATCCACCCCCAGGTGTGGCTGCAGGTGGGGGAAGGAGAGACAGGTAGTCTCAGAGAGGCTGTGGGAAGGTTTAGGTAACCTCCTGGGCTGAAGCTGGGCTTCCGGGTTTGGGGCTTCCAGGTTTGTGGCTTGCAGGTGGAGCTATTGACAACACTCTCTCCCCAGGGGAGCTTAAAAGTGCCTTCCCAGGCTTCAGTCCAGCTGCGGTTGGGTGGAGAAGGGAGGGTCTTGTGCAATAGGGTAAACCACTCCTCGTTCAGGGCTGTTTGTTTAAGTGGGCAGGGATGGGTTTGCGAGAAATAGCCCAGTTTTTGTGTTAATTTGAACTGTTGGGACTAGTATGTTTTGGCGACAACTCCCCAACATGGGGAAAGCAGGATGGGTTATAAGGGGTAAGATGATGGGGGACCCAGGCAAGCACCTAACCCTTACCAGGAGGTGGGCAGGCTGAATGGGGGCTGTGAAAGAGTTAGTGACTGCCCAGCTAAATAGAACCCAGAACTCAGTGTCCCCTAAGTTCTCACAAAAAGCTAGCAATATGGATTCTTTTGTTGATTTGTTTGTTTGTTTATTTATTTATTTGAGTCAGAGTCTCATTCTGCACCCAGGCTGGAGGGCAGTGGTATTCTCGCTGCCACCACAGCCTCGACCTGCTGGGCTCAGGCGATCTTCCGCCTCAGTCTTCCAAATAACTGGAACTACAGGCACGTGCTACCACACTTGGCTAATTTTTTGATTTATTGTAGAGACAGGGTCTCGCCAAGTTGCCTAGGCTGGTCTCAAATCCCTTTGCTCAGGCAATCCTCTCGCCTCCACTTCCCAAAGTGCTGGGATTACAGGCATAAACTTCTGCGCCCGGCAGTTTCCTGACTCTTTACATGTTGGCAGCTAACTAAAGAAATTAAGCCACTGTTTTAGGCAAAGCATGATGGCTGGCTGCCAGCGTGTAACATTTGGCTGACCTTGACTGCACATCTGCTATGCACTTTACACAGGTTACCTTGTCTAATTTACTTGCTGTTGCTTCCTCCTAAAGTTCCTCTCTCTGGTGATGTAGCCGGTTTACCTGTCAAACCCCTTCTCCCCACTAGCTATGCCCTCTCCCCACCAACCTCCCAGCATCCCCTCTTATTACTTCCAAACTGAGCAACCTGCAGTCCCAAGCCAAACCCGTGATCACTGCCCAGCTTTTGCTCACTGTGATTTTGTTATGCCTGGAACATCCATACCTGACTGCTCATCTTGTTTTCTCCCCTAACTTTCTTTATTGCGGTATAATACACAGACAACGTACGATCCTGTTTTTTAAGTGCAGTTCAGTGGCATTAAGCACATCCACATTGTTGTCTAGCTGTCACCACCACTCCTCTCCAGAACCTTTCTTCTTGCCAGACTGAAACTCTGTTCCCATTAAACAGTAATTCCCTAATTCCCCTTCCCCCAACAACCACCATCATTCTTTCCTGTCTCTGTGATTTTGAATAGTCTAAGCATTTCAGATGAGTGGAATCGTACGGTATTTATCTTTTGTGATCATATGATGTAGCAGGTGTCGGACTTCTCTTTCAAGACTGATTAATCTTCCACTATATGTGCTATATGTATTCCATTTTGCTTATCCACTCATCCGTCGGAAGACACTTGGGTTGTTTCCATGTTTTCACTATTGTGAATAATGCTGCTGTGTACACGGGTGTGCAACTATCTCTTCAAGACTTGCTTCTGTCATAATTTTTTTTTTTTTTGAGTTGGAGTCTCACTCTGTCGCCCAGACTGGAGTGCAGTGACACACTCCTGGCCACCACAGCCTCGACCTGCTGGGCTCCGGCTATCCTTCCGCCTCAGCCTTCCAAGTAGCTGGAACTACAGGCGCGCGCCACCACGCCCAGTTAATTTTTTTGATTTATTGTAGAGATGAGGTCTTGCCAACTTTCCCAGGCGGGTTTCGAACCCGCGGGCTCAGGCAATCCACTCACCTCAGCCTCCCAAAGCGCGGGATTACAGGCTGAGCCACCGAGCCTGGTTCTGTCATAATTTTTGAATAGGAGTCTCACTCTGTCGCCCAGGCTGGAGTGCAGTGGCACGCTCCCGGCCACCGCAGCCTTGACCTGCTGGGTTCAGGTGATCCTTCCACCTCAGCCTTCCAAGTAGCTGGAACTACAGGCACGCACCACCATGCCCAGTTAATTTTTTTTTTTTTTTAATTTATTGTAGAGATGAGGTCTCGACAAGTTGCCCAGGTTGGTCTCGAACCCTTGGGCTCAGTCAATCCTCTTGCCTCCACCTCCCAAAGCGCTGGGATTACAGGCATGAGCCACCGCACCTGGCTTTCCAGAGATAATTTGAGGCAGAGGCAGCTGTCTGTGCAAAGCATGGAGCAAGCATAAAAGTTCTGAGCGTCATTTGGGCGGGCACGAAGCAGAGGATGACTGGGGCAACCACAGAGATAAAGAGTTTGGGGACCATAGTTCCAGCTACTTGGAAGGCTGAGGCGGAAGGATCGCCGGAGCCCAGCGGGTCGAGGCTGCGGTGGCCGGGAGCGCCATCTGCACTCCAGTCTGGGTGACAGAGTGAGACTCCAACTCAAAAAAAAGTTTGGGGACCAAATTGTCTTGTTACAGTGTCTGCATCCCTGCTGCCTGCACTCCCGAGTGGGAGCTCCAGGAGAGCTGGGGCTGCTCTCAGCCGTCCTTACTCCATACCTGCCACCTTCGGGGACCACACTCTCCTCAAACCTTGCAGAAGACAGCGCCCAGCTGAAGTGAGAGCGCCCCCTAGTGGCTCCAACGAGCTCTCACCTTCTGCCGCGGGGAGCAGAACCCGCCGTGCCCTCTGCGCAGCCCAGCAGCTGTTACTAGGGATGGCTCTCAGCCTGGCATCCCCTCACTTGATCTCTACCCCTCCCTGAGAGGATGTTCACTTCGGGCCAACACTTATGAAGCACTTACTCTGTGTTGTTCACTGTTCTAGGCATTGGGAGAGTTTGAGTCATTAATCACCCCAGCCCTGCAAGAGAACCAATGGATAATGGGGGTTGTTCCCAGTGCTGGGGGGGATCAGTGGAGGGATTGAGTCCGCTTTGAGCCTGGAAAGATGGATAAGTAGCAAAGGAGGGAGTTAGAAGGGAAAATACAGTGCCGTATGAAATGGAACAAAGGAGTGAGCCCACCCCATCATGGCCTCAACATTGACTGTAACTACCACCATTTGTTAAAGTCATAGAGAGAACATGGGGTGCTGAGGACCCAGAGATGATTAAGATGCTATCCGTGGCTTCAGGAGCTCACAACCCAGCAGGAAGACAGACAGTAAATGAAATAAGTGGTTATGCTCAGGGCCTTGTTAGCAGACACAGGAGTGTGTAGCAGGGAGTGCCCCTCACCTGGGATTGTGCGTGAAGGTTTTGAGCTTAGGCTGAGAGATGAGAAGGGGGGTGGTGGTCCAGGTTGAGAACACAACAGGTACAAAAGCTCAGAGGTGTTACCCATCAAAAGGGGGCCCATACCCAGCATGTTAGGAAGGTTCTGCTTCCTGATCTGGGTGCTTGCCTGAGGTGTGTACAGTTAAGGAAATGCATCGATCTGTACACTTCTGACGTGAAGTATGTACATTCACATCAGTAGTCCTTCAGGCGCTTGACAGTAGCTCCCAACCCCTTTTGTATGACTCGACTCTGGAGCCATCCTGTTAGGGCCAGGACCCAGTCCTCCCAGTCCAGCTCTAGGACCTTAGGGATGCAACCTCACAGAATCAGTTTCCTCACCTATAAAATGGGATTATAGTATCATTACAGAGTTGTGTGCTAAGCCAACAACTTGATATGTAAAGCACTTAAATAGTATTTTCAGTGTGCTTCTCTTGACAGTACCAGAGTTTTTATGAGTAGCAGTGCCTGGCACAGAAAAGCACAATGTAATTTATTGAATACATGAATGAATTAAAAGTACGCTATTTTTGACATCAGGAAACGGCTTGAACAAATGCAGAGATGTGGGCTGGAGTGGGATACCTGCACTAAAGGCTCCTGGGCAGGAGTTCAGAGCCTGGGCAGGGGCTTCACTCCTGCGCAGAAGCCAAGGCTTCTGTGGCTGAGGAGGGAGACTGCCAGAGACCTGGGCCCTGTGGAGGAGGTAAGAGCCAAGGTTTAAGCCTGTGCACCATCTCCCCCCAATCCCCGACTGCACATGAGGTTAAGGCTTGCCCCAGCTAATGAGCAGCTACTGAGGTTAAACCAGGAAGAAATAATGCTATGCTGCAGCCCTGCGGCCTCTCCGCAGCCCCTACTCCCACGGCCCTCCCCTCTGGTGGTCAACTGTGACATTACTCTCCACCCACAGGGCCACAGGGCCGGGGCAGTTTCGGGAGATGAGAAAACCTGCTCAACAGGATGGCCAGAGCCTGAACTGGTTGGACAGGGCAGCCCCATCTCCCCCCAGCAAGCTTGTCCCTCTCCTGGCCCACAGAACAGAGGCAGAAACCCCAGAGAAGAGTTTTATTACACTATGAGTGGACTGGAGCAGTGGGAAGTTCAAGAGGGGTGGAGGCTGGGACACGGCTTAGGCTTTTCCGCCTGTCTGCAGGTCCTGGCCAGGTTGAGGTTGGTCAAGGGCAGGGAGCTCGATCTTGGGGAAGAGGGAGAGAGGAAGCAGAGGCCAGGTAGCCCCCTCCGCTTCTCGCTCACTCCATGGCATTAAATAAACAAAAGTAACTCTTTACAGCAACGCTATACAGCAAAGTCCTTCCTCCCAGCCCTGGACTGGGCAGTATGGAAGGGGAGTCCTGGAGGACAGGGTTGGGGCCTCCAGCTTCTGATGCTACCCTAGCCCCCTTTCCAACACCATGGGGGTAGGGGCAGGCGGCTTTGAACAGGATACAAAACTCCAACTTCCTCCAAACTCCTACACAGGCAGGTCCATCTATGTCTGGCACTTCAGGCCCAAGGGCTTTCTCAGACTCCTCCCAGACCCTGGGCTTTCTCAGGACCTGAGCTTAGCTGAGACTCCTTCAAGAGGGGACAGCCCTGAATGCTAAGGCACAGTAGGTCTGGGAAATAGGCAAGAGGAGTCTGGTCCCAAAGTTTTCCCCAGCCAGGTATCTGTCTTGGCAAGCAGAAAGCAGGGCCAAGTGAGAGCTGGCGACCCCCAGGCTCAGAGGGGCCGGGTGGTGTGGTTATAGACCAGATGTTCTGTGTCCTCAGTAGTGGAGACGGTGGAGCTGGCAGGGGTGGGTGGTGGATGGTGATGGTGACAGTGTCTGCGGAAGTCCTTTCTCTGGTTCTTGAAGAAGAAGTAACCCAGGATGGCTACCACCACCACGATGCAGGTGACCAGGAGAGCCGCAATGGCCACCTCCGCAGAGCCTGGGGGAAGAGGGGGTGGGATGAGGGACTCCCAGGGCCTGCCTGGTTTGGATGCCCACCCCCACTCTGTGGAAGGGATCAAGTCAAATGGATGCCAGAGGGGGAAGTAGACCTCCCGTCCATGAGCAGTTGAACGGCACCACCCGGGAACTCAGAGGGAATCTGGTGGGTCTCAGGTCTCAGCTCCAAGTGGCTCTACTCGCAGATAGCTTGCAGAGAGGCCTGGGACTCCAATGGCAGGCATCCGGCACACACTTCATTGTTCTTCCCTCCCTTGCCCATGGCAGATGGCACTAGATTATAGTACTCTGTCTCCATAGACAGCCTCTTTCTCAACACAGGTTTATGCAGTCACAACCAATCAGGTGAAGTTGATTCCGTGATATCTGTGTCAACCTCGGTGAAAGGACAGACCAGGACTTACCTACGCCAGGAACGGGGCTTTCCCGCCGCAGACCAAACACATCCTTCTCTGCAAAATGATGAAGGGAGAGATCAGTCAGTATGAAGAACTCAGACTCAGCTGCTTCCAGTGCCTCAGACCCCCTCACTGCCATCTTCCTCCATCCCCACTCCAGGCACTCTGAGGACAAAGGTGTAACCCCCACAGATTGGGACAGAGCACAACGCACTAGCTAAGCCATTCCCCTGCACACCTCCACCCCCCAACTACCCGCTCACTGGAGATGCCACGACAGGACTCCAGACACTGCTGCTCTTCCTCAAAGTTGTTCTTGTTGCCATAACAACCGCCATAGGTAAAGCGGGCACAGCGTTCGTTGAAGGGGTTGTAGTACCAGCGTGGGATGCTCTCCTGGCAGAGTCCCGTGTCTGGCAGGTCCACACAGTGTCCTAGGGGATAAGGAGCAGACAGAGTGGTGAGTGAGTCCCTGGGGCCCCACGGCTGCTGCCCACCATCTCCTGGCCCACCTCCTACTGAGGGCAGCTGTAGCTGAGTGAGGGTCTGAGAGGTCCCAGAAACATCTGGCCAGGCTGCAGTGTTGCCAGAAGGAAGACAAATCCTAGACAATAATCTTAGGTGCAAAAGTAAACTACACTGACTCAATGATCTCTTTTTCAATTTTCTTTCAACTCTTCTGTGCCAAGATCTCAGCGTTCCTGAGACTTTGGGCAGTGTACCCGTTTTTCTTTATTTTCATTTTTCTATTTTTTTTTTTTGAGTTGGAGTCTTACTCTATCGCCCAGGCTGGAGTGCAGTGGCACGTTCATGGCCACCGCAGACTCGACTTGCTGGGCTCAGGCAACCCTTCCACCTCAATCTTCCAAGTAGCTGGAATTACAGGCATGCAACACCATACCTGGCTAATATTTAGATTTATTGTAGAAATGAGGTCTCATCAAGTTGCCCAGGCTGGTCTCAAATCCATGGGCTCAGGCAATCCTCTTAACTCCACCTCCCAAAGTGTTGGGATTACAGGCGTGAGTCACTGTGCTTGGCAATTTCTGTCACCCAGACTCGAGTGCAGTGGCATGCTCACGACCACCCCAGCATCAACCTACTGGGCTCCAGCGATCCTTCTGCCTCAGCCTTCCAAGCACCCAGTACTACAGGTATGTGCTACCACACTCGGTTAATTTTTTATTTTATTGTAGAGATGAGGTCTCACCAAGTTGCCTGGGCTGGTCTCGAACCCACAGGCTCAGGCAATCCACTTGCCTCGTCCTCTCAAAGTGCTGGGATTACAGGCTGAGCCACTGAGCCCGGCCTAATTTTTTCTTTTTAATTTATTGTAGAGACGAGGTCTCGCCAAGTTGCACAGGCTGGTCTCGAACCCCTGGACTCAGGAAATCTTCTTGCCTCTGCCTGCCAAAATGCTAGGATTATAGGTGTGAGCCATCGTGCTCGGCAGTTTTATCCTTTTTTTAAATTTATTTATTATAGAGATGAGGTCTCGCCAAGTTGCACAGGTGGGTCTCGAACCCACGGGCTCAGGCAATCCACTCACCTCAGCCTCCCAAAGGCGCGGGATTACAGGCTGAGCCACTGAGCCCGGCCTTTTTTTTTTTTTTTAAGTGAGAAACCAGGATTTATTGAGAGGACAGAAAAGTTCCCACAGTGGGAGTGAACTCAAAGGGGTTGCCTAGGTTTACTCTTTTTAACAAAGAGGATGGATGTCAGGGTCTGAGCCTTGGTAGGCAACAATGTCCAGCTAAAATCTGTTAACACTGTTGATGGGAAATTTCCTTTTGATGGCTCACACCTATAATCCCAGCACTTTGGGAGGCCAAGACGGGAGGATTGCTTGAGCCTACGAGTTCAAGACCAGCCTAGGCAACATAACAAGACTTCATCTCTACAAAAAATTAGCCGAGTATGGTGGTATACCCCTGTAGTCCTAGCTATACAGGAGGCAGAGGCAGAAGGATGGCCTAAGCCCAGGAGGTCAAGGCTGCAGTGGGCCATCATCGTGCCACTGGCCTCTGGCCTCCAGCCTGGGCGACAGAGTGAGACCCTGACTCAAAAAAATAACTGACCGATAGCATCTCAGTGCTATGTGGTGGGCATAATTGAAACTCTGAAAGTGTTCAAATAAGTAATGCTTGGAAAACAGAGCCACAGAAGAGAGTCCAGGGAACAGGCTGCTCATGTGGAGAACTCGGGAAGCCCCCTGGCTCTTCATGCCCACAGTCTGGCACACACAGTGGGCGCCCCAGGCACTGCTGGATGGAATGAATGAGGATAGCAGTGCAAAATCTGCCCTGATCCAAGCAACCTGTGGGGATCTCACCTTTGTCACTGTGGAAATGGATGTTCTGGAGCTCTTCAAAGCCACTGGTGTCTGTAGAGATGAAAGGTCAGAGACTCAGGCCCCAAAAAAGTGTCCCGGGGGCACAGGGTAGAGCTGTCGGGACCTTCCCACCTGTTGCCCACCCCCTCTCCATCCCCAGGTCTCACATTTTTCACAGGTAGTCTCGTCAGAGGCGTCAGGGCAGTTGGGGGTGTCATCACATTCCAGGAAACCATCAATGCAGCAGCCATTGCCACAGCGGAACTGGGTGGGGTGACAGGTGCCAGAGCAGACTGGGTAGGGGCGGGACAGGGTAGGAGTGAGGTCAGACTCAAGCACCAAGAGCAAGTGCCAAGGGTCTATCATCCACCTGGTCCTCTCCACCTAACACAGTATCATGATACACACCCCGATTCCCCTTCCATCAACTGGACTCCTCCCACATGTAAATTGCGTGGACCTGATAAAATGCTTGGCTGGAAGGGGTGGGATGTTTGTGGTCCTTCCACATGCCATGAGGGGAGGAATGGGTTGGGCAAAGGCAGATGGTCAGGGGTATGGACATCACATGGGCTGTTAACTTGGCAGGGGCGAGGGAGACGAAAAGGAGTAAAGCCCACCTGGATTGCGCCTTTCCACGGAGGGGCCTGGGAGAGAGAACAGAGAAGTGAGAGGGCAAAGCTAGGCTCCAGTAGGTACGAGATGATGAGGGGGCTGGCAAGGGAGGCACTCCCACCACCCTGAATAGTGGAGAGAGACCCCCCCTACCCTGGAAAAGGTCACCTGAGCCCCAGAGCTGCCTCTCACAAACCTACCTTGCACATTCTGGCAGGCTAACATGCACTCTTCTTCTCGAAGGTAATTGTTCTTGTTGCCCAAGCAACCTCCATAAATGAAACTCTTGCAGATCTGTTCTATGGGGTCATAGTACCAGCGGGGAAAGGAGCCCCGGCAGCGGCCTATCTTGTTGGATGCAAGGCAGTAGTCTGGGGGATGGGGAGAGATCATGAGGGGGTTCCGTGGGATCCACAGAGATGGGTAGCTTCAGGTGCTGTCTCCCACCCCCTTCTCACCTTCTGTCTGCTTGGCAGACAGCACAGTGACTGTGACATTGGCTGTGTCCTCTGGCTTGTCGGAGTCAGGTACTGTCAGCTGGAACAGGTAGGTACCTTCCTTGAGTCCCCACAGCTTCACTTGGTCCGGATCTTTCCTCTAAATACAGAAGTCGCCATGAAGCTTGGACCCCCACTGATGCCCTTCTAGACATACATGCACCCCCCTGGGAAGGGCAGGATACTATGTATTCAATGCATTTCTCCACCTCACGCCATCTGTAGCCACTGGTTGGCCTACTGCCCCAGAAAGGGACCCCAGAAGGCTGCGGGGAGGGTCAGGGAGTCAGCCCAGTGTCTCACCTCTACCCTGACATCCGTGTCACCCTGCAGTAGGTGCCAATTTGTGTTGTTCACATCCTTCAGCACCACGGGTTCCTGGGGTTGCACTTTCAAGTCTATGCCTGCCCAGGCCTTGGGGATCCGGGACCCTGAGGGAAAAGTGGGATAAAGTCAACTCCCACTGAATGCACCAGGTCTCTCCTGGAGGTGAAATAAGGTGGTGGCAGTATGGGCCACACCTAGACCGACTTGGGACTCAGCAGCCTGCATGGGGTACAGGTGGGAATTCACAACAGAACCAGATTCTTGTTCTCTAGTCAGAGACACTATGTCTTTGGTATACTGGACATTTTTATGTTGTGGCCCATTTTTTGTGTGTGTGTGTTGGAGTTTCACTCTGTCGCCCAGACTAGAGTGCAGTGGCCGCTCCCAGCCACCGCAGCCTCGACCTGCTGGGCTCTGGCGACCCTTCCGCCTCAGCCTTCCAAGTAGCTGGAACTACAGGCACGCGCTACCACACCCAGCTAATTTTTTGATTTGTTGTAGAGATGAGGTCTCGCCAAGTTGCCAAGGTGGGTCTCGAACCCATGGGCTCAGGCAATTCACTCACCTTGGCCTCCCAAAGCGCGGGATTACAGGCTGAGCCACCAAGCCCAGCCGTGACCCTTTTTTTTTTTAGGCTGTTGCCCAGGTGCCCAGCCTGGAGAGCAGTGGCTATTCAATTGGTCATAACCACTGTAACCTTGGACTCCTGGACTCAAGCAATCCTCCCATCTCAGCCTCCCAAGTAGCTAAGACTACAGATGTGCATCACCATGCCTGTTTGTAAAATCCACTTTCTGAAGCAAATTACTGAACAGCATGTGCCATCTGATCTCATTTAGGGAAAAAAATATACACACACACAATTGAGGGGGTGAGCTTGTTTATCTTCTACAATAAGCCAACTGCTAACTACTTTATTATTTTTATTTTAAGTCAGAGTTTCATTCTGCCACCCAGGCTGGAGTGTGGTGGCACACTCACAGCCACTGCACCCTCAACCTGCTGGGCTCAGATGACCCTTCCACCTCAGCCTTTCAAGCAGCTGGAACTACAGGTGTGCACTACCATGCCCAGTTAGTTTTTTGATTTATTGTAGAGACGAGGTCTTGCCAAGTTGCCCAGGCTGATCTCGAACCCATGGGCTCAGGCAATCTTGCCTCTGCCTCCTAAAACCTGGGACTACAGGCGTGAGGCACTGCACCCAGCTGCTAATTACTTTAAAAAGTTAAAGTAGGCCAGGTATGGTGGCTCACGCCTGTAATCCCAGCACTTTGGGAGGCAGAGACAAGAGGATTACCGAGTTCAGTGGTAACAACATGGCAAGACCTCATCTCTATAGTAAATCAGAAAATCGGCCAGGCATGGTGGTGCACACCTGTGGTTCTAGCTACTTAGAAGGTTGAGATGGAAGGATCACCTGAGCCCAGCAGGTCAAGGCTGCAGTGGCCATGAGCGCTGGGTCACAGAGTGAGACTCTGACCCCGCCCCCCCCAAAAAAAAATTAAGGTAGGCTGGGCACAGTACTCACACCTGTAATTCTAGCACTTTAGGAGGCTGAGGTAAGAGGACTGCCTGAGCCCAGGGACTTGACACCAGCCTGACCAACTGTTCTCATCTCTAAATAAATTTAAAAACAAAAACAAAAGCAAAAAACAAAAAGTTAAAGGAACCATTTTTTAAAAATCCAAGTAGGGAAATATGTCATTAAAACCCATCACCCCTCAGTTTACTGGTCCAGATTGCTACAGAGAAGCCCATCTGGGTAGAGGCTTAAACACAGAGTCTCCAGGGAAACACAGCGGGCCTTGATGCCCCAGAATGAGTGGCTACTTCAGACAGACTGCCTCCAGTTACGGGTCCTGAGGGAACCATGGTCTCCCTTGACCTAACAGTGCTTGTTCCCGAAGCTCCATCTCAGGGTTGGGTCTGGAGAAGAGGGTTGAACAGTGGCCCTTTCAAAAGATACGTACACAGTGAAACTCTGAAACCTATGAATGTCCCTTACTTAGGAAAAGAGTCTTTGTAGATGTAATTAAGCAAAGAATATCCAGATGAGATCATCCTGGATTAGCTGGTTAGACCCTAAATTCAATGACAGGTGTCCTTATAAGAAGCAGAAGAGGGCCAGGCATAGTAGCTCATGCTTGTAATCCCAGCATTTTGAGAGGCTGAAGTGAGAGGACTACTTGAGTCCAGGAGGTGAAGACCAGCCTGGGCAACTTAGCGAGACCTCATCTCTACAAAAAACTTAAAAAGTTTATGCGGTGGTGCATGCCTATAGTCCCGGCTACTCAGGAGGCTAAGGCAGAAGGATCATCTGAGCCCAGAAGATCAAGACTGCAGTGGGTCGTCATGCCACTGCACTCTAGCCTGGGCAACCAAGTAAAACTCCAACTCAAAATAACAGCAACAACAACAACAGTAACAAAAAACAGAAGAAGCCAGGTGTGGTGGTTCATACCTGCAATCTCAGCACTTTGGAAGGCAAGAGGACTGCCTGAGTCCAGGGGTTCAAGACCAGCCTGGGCAACTTGGCGGGATCTTGTCTCCATAATAAAACAAAAAATTAGCCAAGCATGGTGGCACATGCCTGTGGTTCCAGCTACTCAGAAGGCTGAAGTGGAAGGATCACCTGGGCCTAGCAGGTAAAGGTTGCGGTGGCTGTGAGCATGACATTGCACTCCAGCCTGGGCGACAGAGTGAGACTCACCCCCCACCCCCCTCCCCCAAAAACAGAAGAGAAGACCATGTAAAGACAGAGAGGGTAGGCCAGGTTTGGTGGCTCAGCCTATAATCCCAGCACTTTGAGAGGCCAAGGCAAGTGGATTGCCTGAGTTGGCGAGATCTCAACTATACAATAAATAAAAAATTAGCTGGGCATGGTAGCGCACACCTGTAGTTCCGGCTACTTGGAAGGCTGAGGTGGAAGGATTACCGGAGCCCAGCAGGACAATGCTGGGGTGGCAGCCACAAGCCAAGGGACACCTGGAGCCACCATAAGCTGGAAAAGACCAGGAAAGATTCTTCCCTGGACCCTTTGGAGGGAGCACATCCTTGCTGACACCATGATTTGAACTCTGGCCTTTAGAACTATGACAGAATACATTTCTGTTGCTTTAAGCCAGCCAGTTTGTAGTAATTTTGTTGTAGCAGCCATAAGAAATCAATACACAGCCCTTGATTGGATTACAGTCCAGTAGGGCAGAAAAGAGCCAGCAACATGGTAAGATAAGACCCAACATCACAGAGCAATAGGTATATAGGACAAGCTGAGGGAATAGGGGAAGGCTTCTTGGAGAAGGGACAAAGGATTTTTTGGGACAAAGGAATTTTAGATTTTTTTGTTTTTGTTTGGTTGTGAGGAAGAATGTGGGGTGTTGTTAGTGACAGGAGAAAACATGAGAAACCGAAATAAGGAGTTAGGAATTTGCAAGGCTAGTTCAGTGGATAGTAAGGAGACCAGTTGGGCTAGGGTAGGCCTCAAAGTGCCCTGGACAGGCCAGGGTGGAGTTTGGACACAGCAGGAGTGACGTTCAAATATTAAACAGCTGGACAGACTCTGGCCATGAGCAGTTGGAGCACAGCCCTCAGGGCCCTGGCTGCACCAGACATTGACCTCCAAGCTACGTGATAGAGTCCAGGAGTCCTAAGGGATGGGTCGAGGCTTGGACAGCAGTGTTTTCCCAACTATTTGGAAGTATTTCCGTGGAGCGAGAAGGCTGACACATGGACCAGTGCAGCGGTTCAGTGTAGATGCAACAGAGTGGCCTGAATTCCAGGGCAGCTAAGGGAATGGAAAGGAGGATGTGAAAACAACTCTGGGCAGACGCTTCAGGCTTCTCCTTGGCCAGGATCTGGGAGCTGAAGAGGAAAATCCAGGGCACAGGCAGAAGGAAACATGTGGTTTTTAAGTCACAGAGAAGTTAAATGTGGGGGGGGGAGGGGGAGGTCACCTGACCAGCAGGCAGCGGGAGATGGGCATGGGAATGCCAGAAAGGCCAGGATTGGAAACAGACCTGGAGGCATATTAGCAAAGCTGTCACTGATTTGAATGTATCCTGGGCAGCATGCTAGGTACTTTACTTGCTTTATCTACATCAGGAGTTGGCAAACTATGGTCTGCAGGACAAACCTAGCCCACCATTTCTTATATTTTTATTTCATTTTATTGAGTCAGGGTCTCACTCTGTCACCTAGGCTGGAGTGCAGTGGCATGATCATGGCTCACTGCAGCCTTGCCTCCGGGGCTCAGGCAATCCTCCCACTTCAGTCTCCCAAGTAGCTGGGACTATAGGCGCATGCCACCACATCCAACTAATTTTTAAATTTTTTTTGTAGAGATGAGGTCTCGCTATGTTGCCTAGACACACACACACACATATTTTCTTAAATTCAGAATTTCACTCTGTCGCCCAGACAGGAGTGCAGTGGCACGCTCATGGCCACCGCAGCCTCGACCTACTGGGCTCAGGTGATCCTTCTGCCTCAGCTTTCCAAGTAGCTGGAACTACAGGCATGTGCTACCATGCCCAACTAATTTTTTTATTTTATCTAGTATAGAGACAAAGTCTCGTCATATTGCCCAAGCTGGTCTCAAAGCTGTGGGCTCAGGCAATCCTCTCACCTCCACCTCCCAAAGTGCTGGGATTACAGGTGTGAGCTACTGCGCCTGGCTGGCTTCTTATATTTTTAAAAAACCAAAAGAGATGAAAAAAAAAGGAAAATAACCTTTCATGACATGTGAAAAGTACATAAAATTCAAATTTGTATCAATAAATTGAAACACATTCCTGCCCATTTCTTTACATAATTACATATGGCTGCTTTCACATTACAACAGAAGTTGAGTTAATTGTAACTGGGACTGTATGACCCACAAAGCCCAACATATTTGCTAGTTAGACCTTTACAGTAAAAGTTTGTTGAGCCCTGATCTCTATCACCTACCTTTATAAACACCCTATCACACCTGCATTTTCACTCTCTTTTCAGATGAGAAATTTGACGCCAGAAAGGTTAAATGACTTGCCTAGCGTTGCTAAGTTTCTTTCTTCTTTTTTTTTTTGAGTTGGAGTTTCACTCTTGCCCAGGCTGAAGTGCAGTG